TGGAGGAGGGGGCCCCCCCCAAGGGTGGCATCCCGTGCCCCCCACCCGTGGGCTGCCTCCTGCCCCTGTGCCACTGACCGGCCCGCACTGTCCTTACCCCCCAGCAAGGAGAGCTCAACTCCTTCCTCTGGACCATCCGCCGCGACCCCCCCGCCTATCTCTTCGGCACCATCCACGTGCCCTACACGCGGGTGTGGGACTTCATCCCCGACAACTCCAAGGCTGCCTTCCACGCCAGCTCCAGCGTCTACTTCGAGCTGGACCTCACCGACCCCTACACCATCTCGGGGCTGGCCAGCTGCCAGATGCTGCCCCACGGGGAGAACCTGCAGGACGTGCTGCCACGGGAGCTGTACCGCCGCCTCAAACGCCACCTGGACTACATCAAGCTGATGCTGCCCCACTGGATGACCCCGGACCAGCGGGGCAAAGGGCTCTACGCCGACTACCTCTTCAACGCCATCGCCGGCAACTGGGAGCGCAAGAGGCCCGTCTGGGTGATGCTCATGGTGAACTCCTTGACGGAGACGGACATCCGCTCCAGAGGGGTGCCGGTGCTCGATCTCTACCTCGCCCAGGAGGCCGAGAGGATGAAGAAGACGACGGGTGCGGTGGAGAGGGTGGAGGAGCAGTGTCACCCGCTGAACGGGCTCAACTTCTCCCAGGTAAGGAGACTCCTGGGCCTCATGGCTTACCCCGGAGGTAGGGGATGTTGTCCTCGCGTTTCGGTTGGTTTATGGGGGTGAACCCCAAGCCTGTTGCAGTGGGTGGGTCTCTCGCGGGCGTCAGCAGCCTTCGCGTCGGGCTGCCTGTTCTCCATCGCGCCGATCCGTGCTGCCTGCAAAAATCCTGCGATGTGCGCAGGGAGTTTATCATATATATTATTTATTTGAGCAGCAAATGTCCAGGGTGTGAATGTGTGTGTCTCCGCTGGCTTGCCACTTGTGAGGGAAACTTCCATGCCTCTCATCCTGTCCCGGAGCTGGGTAAAAAGTGATTTTGTTTGTTTGTGTTGAAATAAAGCAGCAATGTGGTACTTGTCGGGAAGAGGATGAAGCATGAACAATGAAAAATGAAGTTTCAGCATTGTTCAGATAGATTTAAGTACGTGCAAATTGTCAGTTGTCTTTTTAGTAGTCACTCCAGGTCAAGACAAACTGGCTCACCTTGCCCTCGTGTACGGGGGGAAATTACGTGTGCAATCTGCATGGATTTTTTTCATTTTAGAACAGGTAAAGTTCAGCAAAAAGAAAAGGATGTAGATTAAGAAACAAAAGTTACTGGTGTAACTGGACTCCAGAATTCTTTCAGTGGATTTAGCTTTAAACAACCAAATACTAAGCCATGCGATCTATTTCATTTCAGTGGATTAATCAGGAACACAGTCACAGCTATTGACTTTGCTTTGTGAAACTGTTTATATGAAATCAGATTTACTAGAAATTGAGGAAATGAATGTGTGTGGAAGAAAACAAATAATCCAGGGGAAATTTAAGATGGTGTCAGTTACTGCTATGCTATTTCATTTTTAACCTGCTTTTTGTCATTAGTTTTGGATCAGCTATTTCCAGCTTTATCTTACTGTCCTAGTTTGAGCAAAAAAATTCTTGGTGATGTGGGAATAAAGATTAAAGGACTGATCTTTCTTTGGTGTGATTAAAATGTCCTTAGAGTGCCTTCACCCCCTTCTCCCCTGAAGTCCAGTGGGAACTGTTTTAAGAGAAAAAAGTCTGGCTTTCACTAACATTTGGTTCATCCGATATTTCAAGGAGCAGTCCAACTCTGCATAAAGCCTTCACAGGAGAAGATTGGTTGCATACACTTTTGGAGGGATTTTCTTGTTTATCAACAAAAATAATTAAAAGAAAGCCCCTCAGGACCTTTCCATTAATTAACACACACGCAGAACAAGGAATTCGTTTCACCCTGTTCTGTTGGAAAGGTTTAAGTGCCTACCCTCTCTGTTGAACCCTTTCTTTAAGGTGAGGTAAAAATAATTAACCATTCCAGACATCCAATAGCATTTGGTTGTATTAGGTCAAAAATGGCAGTTAGAATCAAGCACATGAAAGCACTTGGTTAAAAATGTACCACTTGGAAGCCTTTTAAATGTGAATCATATTACATTTTTTTCTTTTTAGAGAGTGAGAGTGCGCGTGACAGAGAGAGGAAAAGGGGCAGAGTACAAAACTCACTTCTGCTCTTACCATAATTCTGTTTTTCTCTCATTCTCTAAATTTTAAATAGAAAATTTCCCCTTTGTTTTGCTACAATAATAATCTAAAAAAGAACGACAAAGGTATTATTGCTGTTGGCAAGTAAAGGACAATCATTTATGCAAAAAGTTTGTGCTGATTAAAAAAATACATTACATTTTAATTATTACAGAGAGTTGACATTGCTGCTAAAATAGATCAGTGTTCAGGAGTATTTTTCCTAGATTGAAGCTTTTTCTGGGAACAAGGCCATCAGAACAACATGAGACAAAATTAAACAAAACAAACCAGATATTTATTTTCTTGCTTCCTCTAGATTTCATGCATCCTGACACCTGGCTGGTTGTTTAACAATAGTAATTTGTAATGTTATCACACCGTCTGGCAGTCCTACTGCTTGGCGTATTACTGTGCTAATTTAGTGAAGTGGATTACTATTGCTAGGTTTCGCCTCCCAATTCCGGGTCTTGGAGCCTTCCTTAAGCAACACGTAATTAAAACACACTGAAATGGAAATCAGAAATTGAGCAGCTTTTGTCTTGTAGGGTGTTTGCACAGTTTGATGAGAACATCTGTGATAAATTACAGTCCCAAATCTGCTAAGGGCATCAGCAGTTTTTACCTGTTTTCAGCATTACGGTTACGGGAATAGTGCATGTACTTTCTGTATTCGGAATTCAGGTTTTAAAGCTGTGCCTTGCTCAATCATGTCAATGCTTTTGTTTCCCCCGTCCTCAAAGTCCAGTATTTTTGCCCTTAGCAAATTAAAAAAGAAAAAAGCTTTCTTTTTTTTTTTTTTACTTCTTCCCCTCAAAGGCAGCTTTGTGCTACTGCAAATACTTAATCTGACTACATGCACCAAATCTGTTAATCTGATACCGTGAGCAGGAGGAAACCTAGGAGTGGTCCCGGTGTGGTACTTGGTTTTGATCTGCTCAGAAAGAAAGCGGATACACTTGTATTTTTGACCAGGAATGATCTTTGAAATGTTCTGTGCGTCGCTTTGAAATGTTGATGGTCTTAGCCGGATGAAAAGATTAAGGTGGCTCATATAATTGGCTGCTTCCTGGAGAGCCAGCTCTTGCAGGTAGGGCACAGAGCATTGTTTTCTGCTGTAAACCCAGAAACTTTGTAGTTTGATGCTCCGCTCCCCCTGAAATCTCTGCTCAGCGTTTTGTCTCTGCCAAAACATCAGCACTCTGATCGCTCTCCTTGCCCGCTGGCCGGCTGCTTTCCTGCACGGCGCATGGAGGGAGCATCCTCGCTCCCCTGGGACTCCGGCCGCTGCTGGTCACACAAAGTCCGAGCCCCGGGTATCGTACAGCTGGTGGCAAGGTGTCTGGATTGCAGCAAAAGGCTGGGCTGGGAGCCTGGCAACAGGGGAACCCACATCAGGTCTGGGCCAGATTGAAATTTCACTGCTCCTTGGTATATGAAGTTTCAGGGTTTTCATTGAAGGTGGGACAGAAGGAGCTCAGAGGCATGCAAAGAAGAGGAAGCGGACAACTCTTCTGTCTGACAGCATAGATGTTTATTTACAGAGTGGCCAGAAAGTGCAAAATCAAGCGTCCTGGGGCTGAGAATAGCTGGTGAGGGGTGGATGGCGTTCAGGGCCTTCTCTTGTTGGGACGCTGGCCAAGGCGCTGCAGCGGGGGCCGTGACAGGCCGTGAGGACCTGTCCATGCGTCCCGTGAGGGCCAGCCTGGGAGAGAGTTAAGCTTTCCCATCCTCTTTGTGACCCTCACCCAGGTCTGTGATGAAAAGCTCTCCCCAGGCTGACATATGCTTTTGTTGGAGCAAGGAGAGATGGTGATGGTGACTCCTACAGTGGCTCAGGTCCGTCTGTGTCTGCCCTGACCGCCCAGGGCTGCTGTGGGACCCCGGCTCAGCCCCGGGGGCGAGCACCCACGGGCAGCGTTGCGTCCCCACGGAAAGCCTGTGCGGTCAGCAAGGGGAAGGTCTGACTCCTCTACCCAAACTGCTCTGCCCTGGGGATGGTAGCTGGTGGTAGCTCTCGCTCTAATTTGATGCTTTTTCTCATTAGGATCCCCAGGTCGAGACAGCGTTGATATCCTTTCCTCCAGGTTAGAAATAAAATCCCTCTCCCATCCCATCCTGAGCTCACTCTCTTCAGGGAGAATCTGCATTCAGCCCACACCAAATGCCTCTAATCCCAAGGTTCGTGAGGGGGATTTTGTGTCAGGGCCAGACTCCTTCCTGACCTGCCGGTGGGGGAGGCCATCAGGCCGGAGGGGAGCCGCCAGCACCCCCTTTTCTCTCCCTACGCTGGCTGGGGCTTGCGAAGCCCTGACTGGAGTCTTCTCCGGCCTGTATCATTTCCAACTGCAGGGGGAGATGTTAAATATCAAACCGGTGTTGATTGGATCAGAGACAGCCTCAAAGAAAGAAACCTTAGACCGTGCCAGATTAAACTTCACACTTCACCATTCTTCCCCTTTCATTCCTCTGCCGCCTCATTCTCTGCACAAATAAACCTCGTCTCCTTGCTTTCTACCAATGAGACAGCATTCAAGGGGCAGGAATGACTTTGTTAACAAAATCAGTCTTCATTTCCCAGGTCCTGCTGTTCCATCAAACCCTGGGACATGGCAGCTTTGATTACTCTAGTGATAGGATTAGAGGGGGAACAAGTGCTGTTTAATAAAAGGCCGATGGGTGGTCCATCACGTTTGGTCACTGACAGATCTGCAGTCTCGAAGCTGGACATTCAGTGGCAAAACAGCACGACCCAGTAATGTATAGACAGGGCCACGGCCTGGACTTGCTGTTCCATCTCCCCTATCCCCTTGAAAAATTAAACATTTCTGTGATCACAAAGCTGGGATTCTTGGAGCTGACAGGGACTAGTATAACTGACTTCAAGGGAAATTTGCCTGTTTATGCCAATGAAAGATTCAGGCTCAAAGTTTTCTGAACCGGACTGAAGGGCTCAGTTTCAGAGCTAGTTGACTTTTGACAGTCTGTGTAGTTTATTTGAGGGAGTATTATTGATATTTTTTTTTTAACTTTTTTTATCTTTTTTAAGAAGTGGGTTTTGCCTAAAAGAAATCATGCCTTTCCTTCCAAAAAATTTCAGGCTTCATGAAAAGTCATCAAAAATAGCTTAGTATCACCTCTTTCGATTGCTGAATATTGTTGAAAGAAATGTTGTTAAATGGTTTGATTATACATAGTTATACATAGTGCACATAGTTTTCAGCTTGCTGGCTTTAATTAAACTATCACCCCCTCCAGCCCCCTGCACCCTAGGGTAAAAAAATTCCCCCAGTAAAATTAACCTTGGCGTAGAAATTCATACAGCAGAAATAGAAATCCTTCCATTTAACTCCCTTTGAATACTAGTGGAGCTGCTTTATGTCTTTACCAGGGGAACTGTTGAGAGTGAAACTATGCAGGTATTAAAACTGCAGTAGTCACAGTAACACCTG